GGGTACACAGTCAGCTCGGGGTACACTGCCGAGCCTTATACTGCAGTTACCCCGAGGCAAAGTCTCAGTGCTACCCGAGGCTCAGTGCTACCCGAGGCAAAGTCTCAGTGCTACCCGAGGTGAAATGTGTATTGTTCCCGAGGCAAAGTCTCAGTGCTACCCGAGGTGAAATGTGTATTGTTCCCGAGGCGAAGTCTGCAAAGTCACCCGAGGCGAAGTCTTTAGTGTCACCCGAGGCAAAGTCTTCAGAGTGACCCGAGGCGAAGTCTTCATCATCACCCGAGGCAAAGACTTGATAAATATTCATCTTCAAAGTATCATTTCCAAACAAGGCATCATTTCCGAAGGGTCATTTCCGATAAACCCGGAAATGATAAAGGAGAATCACGAAGGATCAACTTAAATCAGGAAATCTTCCAAAAAACTCCGAAGAATAAGGAAATTATCCTGATCCGCGATATTCTACACCGACTTCAAGATAAATGGAAATCTTCCGAGAATATCGCTGGAGAGGCGGTTTATCACCCCTATATAAAGAGACTCAAGGCTCTCACAGAACAAAAAGCAACATCGCTCTAGAATTTACACTACGCAAAGCTCTCACAGCACAAACATCTTTTTCCTTTTACGATCAAACTCTTGTACGATCAAAGTCATCTTTTTCTTAATAATATCAAGAACACCATCTTTGGTTACAATCGTTTCTGTTGTTCTTTGAGAATTCACGATTATCGTATCCCTAAAATAAAACCCTAGACAAATCTTGATTGTGTTAGTTTCGACTTCCACAATCATTAGTGATTTGGTGAGACTTATTGAAAGAATTTGGGAGAATTTAGTAAAAAAGAAAAGAAGAAGTCAACGACTCATTCCTCTTTTTTTTTAATAACTATGTTTTTCTTTTTTATTATCTTCTCCTTTGCCAAACGTACGGTGTGTCACATGACTCACATTTTTTTAGACGTATCTCTACCTCTGGATTCAATTTAATGATCAATCAATAACCAATAGTCTCAAGTCTCAACAAGTCAATGGAAATAATAAACAACAATCTAAAGATATAACATAAAACGTATAACATCATGATTCCATATTCATAGCATCTGTCCACATGTTCTCTGCTATTGTTGCTCTCCAATTATTAGCAAGTACTCTTTGTTGTTCTTGAGTACCGTGAACCTCTTCATACGCATTATTTTCATCATCACCGCTTTCATCAACACCATTTTCTTCGAGAACGTCTTCTTCAGGAAGAAACACGTCTAAACGACATTCCTTACGAAGATAATTATGTAAAACAGCATATGCAAGTACTAACTCTGCTTGCGTCTTATATGGAAAGGGAGGTGCATATTTGAACATGAGAAATCTTGGTTTAATCTGGAATCAAGAAGAGACATAGCAATGAGAATCGGTCATGTCGTGTTCCGGTAACGATTCGTCATTGCTGTTATAAGTGGATTCGATTGGATACTTGAGAATGGTTGATATGAGAGAGTGAGAGAAAACTTGAAAGTAAAATCGAGATCGAGAGAGATAGAAAGACAAGAAAGAAGAGAGAAAATTGAAAAAGATAGAAAGACGAGAAGGAAGAGAAAAAATTGAACCAGTCGTTAGTATGTTTTTTTTGGACTTTCTTTTTAACCAAATACCACCTCTATTGTTTTGTTATTATTTTTGCACTAAAAAAGTGTTCAAAGTCTCTCCAAATATCTATTTTCAGTATTTTTCTTAAAAAAAATTGTGAAATTTGAATAACAGTGGATTTGCTTTAGTTTTTATAAATTCTTAATTGAATAACAAGAGATTTGAAATTATTTGAAGTGATTTTATATAAATTCCAGTTTCAATAACATGGAATTTGGGAAGAGATTTTAAAATCATTAATTGAATAACAAGTGATTTTAACAAAAAAAAAAAAACCAAAATTTTTAAAAATCACTGTTTCAGTACACTCCCCTAAATATAACATGATGTCAAAACCCGAACATGCGCCAATCCAACTCAAACCAAGATCAATATCTGACCTGAAATTGTCAGACCAATATGACCCCAAATAGATAAACCGAGATTTTTATCGAGATGAAAGGATAAAAAGATATCATCTCAAATGAGAGACCCAAAGACCAAAGTAATATGTAAGAAACATGGGTTGGATTAGCAAGGCTTCGACACATACACCCACTCAAGGCCCAAATCGAGAAACCCCAAAAAAGTTGTAAGAAAACTCATATGGATAGAGCTCATTTATTTCTCTTTAGCTAAATCACTTTTTTTGTGTGGGCTTGAAATGGAACAAATTAGATATTGTACAACCAATTCCGAAGAAGAAAGACTATATTTGGGCCAGCATTCTTTAATCGCAAACAGACGTCAAGCCTTATAGGAATCTACTCCCTGGTAGGCAAGAAAGCCCGTATAGCTCAACTGCACTGTGACCAGAAAGAGAAAAAAGAAAGAAAGAGAACTAGGCTAAGGTGATTGAGAAAGCTTATGTAAACCGCAACATAGAGGTTGTGAAAGAGATTAGGTTTGTAAAGGTTACTTTGATCATTCATAAAAAACCTCAACTGATTCTAACTTCAGTTTCTACGTTTATTTTAACATAGAAAACAACAAAAAATCAAAAACAGATATCACTTTAGCGAAATCTGAAACATTATCTGAAACATTTTTAATTTTCAGAAAATCTGTGTACATAAGTACATTGCAAATACAAACTAAAGGAGAACTTTCATTTGCGTGTGAAATTCATGATTTATGTTTACCATCAACAACTATAATTTGTTTAAAAAGCTGAAGATTGTAAATTCATTTGAATTAATAAAAAGAATAACTGCACAATAAACGTAAACAAACAATCAAAATCATAATCATGTAATTGAGAGGCATGCTTTGCAATTTTCAAGTTGAAATGATCTCACAAATGTGTGTACTCAATAAACAACGAAAAGCCCTATCAAGAAGAGACTTGGTTCCCACCTGCGCAAGCCTATGCATGTCAACTGGCTAAACCTAATCCGAAACTCCATCTCCATCACAAATTCATACTCGAACCCAAGTTTTACTTAGACTCATTCTCCAACAAAGAGCAAAACGAGTGGTAATAAATTTATAGAGGAACACAAATCCAAAAGAGCAGAGGACACAGTCAACGACGAACCAAAAGGTTCCATAATGCTTAAACAGTCACACTATCCTCAATCACAAAGTCCTTTTTCTGAATAGATGCAGTAAGCAAGACTAAAGGCACATAGAAACTCTAAGTGGAAATGTACCAATAAGAATCCTAGACTAATAGTACGCTACTATTTAATCGACTAAAGATCCCATATTCTTGCTCATATATGTTACTCATTCAGATAAATAACTTAACAAGGGACTAATGTAGCAGTAAGGAGTTTAAAGTAAACCATCTGAAATAGTAGTACTACACCGATTCAAAAGTATTTCAAATCGAAACACAAAACATCCAAAACATCATTACTCAATTCCCAGAACTGTTTGTTTCCAAAACTAAAGCCATTACCTTGTGAAACACATATCCTCAAGTGTGTCGATCGAAATCAACGCCAACTCGATGGCCAATACGGATGAATACCATATCCAGTCTTCCAATTATCCAAGTAAACAACTTTCTTCACAGCCCAGAACGATATGAACAAAGCCAAAAGCATAATCAATCTCTGTGCAGTAAGATTCTTCACTCGAACAAGCACATTGGTAACAAACGCCAAAAGCAATCCAACAACAGTATACAAGAATCCAACAGCAAATCCTTCAGCTCCAAGCTGCATTCCAGATCCTTGGTAGAAGAAGACAAGCTTATTCGGATCATTACGATCTTGAAGAAACATCGGCATTTTCCTGATAATGTTGTGCATTGTACCAGCAACGCTAAAGAAGTAAATGAAGATAGCACCAGATAACCAAAGTCTACTATCATGAAGAATAGTTTCTCCTTTTAGAACTCGTTTGATGATAAACGGAGTAGCGATAACGATCAACGCAACGATTACGCCGATCTGCGGTTTCGATAGAAGCGGTGGACGTTGAATAGGACCGACCTTGAGTTTAGTTCGTTGCTCGACGAACTCAGCCATTGATTCCGCTAATCTAGAGTAATCCGATTGATCCATTTGACCAGATTCATCACGTAGATTCGATATCGAAGGACTTACAAGACGAATGTGAGGTAAAGCGTTAACGCCAAAGAGCTGGAACGAAGATTGAGACTGTGAAAACTCGATCTCACAGAAGAAAAGCTTAGTTCCTTCAGATCCATTGTTGTTAGCGAGGAATGAAGCGGAGACGATACCGAATTCGCGACGGAGCTCTTGAAGACGAAGCTCGTTTTTGCTGTGAAGCTGAGTTGCGTCGAAGAAGACGAGTAACGAGTAAGGACGAGGAGTGGAAGCGGAGGTTAGGAATTTTGAGATTCCATGGTCATCGAGATGGATTACGCCTGATTCGCTTGTTGATCTGAGAGATACAAGTTCGTTTAGAAGATCTGAATCGGAATCTGAATCGGAAAACGAAGCTGCGAATGCGGATGATAGTGTTGCTACGAGGAAGAGAAGAGAGACGAGTTTTGATTTGACCGCCATTGTTGAATGTTGATCTCTCTCTCAGATTCGAGAAGAAGAGAAAAGTGAAAGAAAAAGGTATTTGCCGTTTACCAAAAAGCCTCTGGTTGGAGAAGAAGGTCTTCGAAGTTTTTGGGTTTTTTGGGTATCTCGCTGGTAGTCCTACGTGGAAGGTTTTTGTTGGTTGATGTATCCACGTGGATAGTTTCGATTCGTGGAATAAACTCTGATACCTATGAGTGAGGCTATGAGATTTTAGTATTTTACGAGACATTCGCCTTGTTTAATTTGTTTTTTTTTTTTTTTTTTTGTTAACTGGAATAAACTCTAATTTTTCTTAGCTCCAAAACAGTGAAATTTTAATTTAAAATAAGGCTAAGATTCAAGGTTAAGAACCAATTGGAGATTACTTTGTTTAATTTTAATAGATTAGCATTCGTGCAATGTAGTGTTTTGTCTTTGATAAAAAAAAAATCTTTCTGTTTCAAGTTATTTTGTTGGTAGATGTTTGTTTGGGAGGAGGTAGACCAATTGTTCTTAGTTAGAATCGGATGATGGATAATGAAGTTATTCTTGCTTTGGATTTAAAAGAGACTAATTACAAAAAAAAAATGACCGAATCCCTTTTTATTGATTATCGATTATCGAAATTTTTACATATATTATTAATAATGATACCACAATTTTTTTTAAAAAGTTTTTATCAACATCAATAATTTTTACCGAATCTCTAGTCGTTCCACCACGAAAACATCCTCCTTCACAACTTATTTTTCATCTTTTATTTTTCTCCTTTACCACTTATATTTTGGTATAGAATATCACACTCTTCCATCTTTTAAACCAAATTCTTCTTCAAATGTTTAGGTGCTTGTCTAACACCATCAATACAATTCACAACCATTATTATGGATACTTTGTAAAGGAGAGTTGGAGAGGTGTAGATTAAGGGTATTAATGTAACTAGGATGAAACCCGCGCTATGCCGCGGGTATGTTTTTGAATGTAATTTTTTAAAATGATATGTACCTTAAGCATCAATAGAGAATCATTCTTGTCTGTTCCTATCTTTTGGCAAGCTTAGATGAGTTGACGTCGTTGATGATTCTCTATGGAATTCTTTTTCTTTTTTTTCATGGAAGTTTGTATTTCTTATTTCATGGCGATGATAGTGCGTCTCATTCTGGTGTATGTGCTAACTTTATTTCCACAATTCCACTTACAAAAGTTGGTATCAGGAGAGTTTGTACAAATATTTGCAGGCTTTATGATATTCTTCTCGATTCTTGGTAAGCTTGTCTCTTATATAAAAATCCATTTAGAATTGAAGTAGATCCCATTAAGTAATCTTCTTATATATATCCAATGCAGGGAAGTTTGGGGCAGTATTCGCATCAATACGTGCTCCTATAAACGCTGCCTTGTACTGTCTCTTCTTTGCCTATATATGTAGGTAAGTATTGTTTCTAAGAAGAAGTGAATAATATAGTAGGGTGGGTAAATCTGATTTTCGACTTGGCTTTGAGTGAAGCTGCTCTCTTTATATTCAGATAGATAGCTTGATATATCTTCCCTTTGTATAGTTTATTCTAACTCCTATATATATTTACTCTTTATGTTTTGTAGCTCTTGAAAAAGTTTTCTAAAGATCTGCCGTCTTGGAGATAGTGAAAAAAGGTATGTGTCTTATCCTCTTATTAGTCATACTCTGGTTATATTCCATTAGCTTTGCAAAATTTGGTTCTTATGTAGAAATTGTAATGGATTAATCAAGATATAACCAATAAGTTGGATATAGTGTATAGATAGTTCTCAATTTTTTAATCCCAATACCATGCAAAAGTTAGTATAGTTCTCAATCTAAATAGCAAACTCATAATCAGCATAAACCAATGAAAAGCAAAAAAACGAAGGAGCTATTCAATTTAAAACTTTGGAGGTATTCAAACAGAGCTTTTGCTATTGAGAAGCTGAATAAAAAAATCTATGATTTCAAAAAATGAACATTGTTGAGCCAAAAATGTTTCAGTTGGATGGCACGGCTCCAGTTACGTCTTTGGTGTTTCTCTGTTCGTGGAGGAGACAAAGATCATGCATGAGGTAAATTCTCTTTATTCAAATTCCATGTGGCATATCTTGTTTTTAGAATAAGAATAATCAATAAAAATAGTTTTAGATTACATGTTTTCCTTGTTCCGCAGCACATGTAGCATCACATCAGTAAGATGAAAACGACGCGATGGATGTTAATCATAAAAAATCGAAACCTGCAAGAAAAACTCTCAATCAACTCTCATGTGAAAACAAATCTAGAGCATTAAGGCGGTTTGGAAGATTGTTTACAACGATAATAATCCATACTCATTCCAAGAAAGAGACATTTTATTACTAATCTTGAAAGGACCATTCTCATAGAACATAGCCAACTCACTGCTACATCCAGGCCCTCCAACCAACCAAATCACAATGGGAGCGTCCTTCTTGTTGCGTGACTCAAAGTGAACAAACAAAGCAAATAAACACTACTTTGAGATTCCAATTAGTAAAACGTCACCAAAACTCCAATGTTCAAAAATCAAACTAATACACAAACCTACTCAAGAGCTAGCTGCAAATTGTAATTGAACCACAAACAAGTCCATAACGATTTCTCAAATTTTAAAGTTCTAGAAGTTGCTATACTCTACCATAAAAAGCTCAAAATCGAGCAGATCCTTGATCATATCAAGTGATATAGTGTCACTGAAAGGAAACGTAGAACTCAAAGGAGGTTGAATTTCTCACCTGGATTTCTTGTCTAGGTAAACACCATGGATTTGGGAATGGAGGAAGATCAAGCAACCCGGAAGAGCCTATTTCATCGATCAGAAGGCAAAACCCAAAGCCTATTTCAACAAAACCCACCATGTTTGGGGTTTATGATTATAAACAAAATAATTAAAAAGCCCATGAATTAAAAATATCAAGATGGGCATTTAAAAAGCCCAAGATGATTATAAAAAAAATGATGTGGAATTGAGGAAGATTTTTACTGGACGGAAATGATGAGCTGTATTAATGTTATAATTTGATTGGACAGCTTTTTTAATGATTTGTCAGGCTGAGAATAGCTGAAAAAACTGATGTGTCGTTTTATTGTATTGATTAGTCATGACTTAAACCTTAAGGTTAAGACCAGAGCCGACCACAAGGCCAAGCAGGCAAAGCACATGTTTGTGGCCATTAAATAATATCATTAATTTTCGGCCACATTTATGTAAAAGTTCATGTGGTCTAGTGGTTATAACTCAGTGGTGCAGTCAACAATTCTTGGGTTTGAGTCTTGTGGCCCAATATATTGTAAATCATTTGTATCAATAAATCATTCAGCCTACATTTTTATTTGGTATCAGAGAATTTTCTTGAGTCTCAAAGCTTCTAACAACAACATTCCTCACTTGTCACAAAGAACCCGAGACACACTACACATTTTATCTTATCACATCTTGCGTAGTTGCGTGGGCTTAATGTCAGTCACACCATCGCCAAATGAAACTAATATTTGCTTGAACCGCCAATAGTAACTCGATTCCATCTCTAATCGTGCGTTTTAATCAAAACGCGTTTACTGATTTTCCAAATTCATTTTAAAGAGAAAAACAAAAAGGAAAGAAAAAAAGATTTAAACATAAATAAAATTGAACACCTGTAAGTTCTCGTCGTGACCCATTCGAATCGATTTTAGGCGCTAGGGTTTCTTCATCCATCTCTCCGAAGAAGAAGATGGTTTGCGATAAGTGTAAGTCCTTCGAATTTGTTCGATCATTGTGTTGGGTTGTGATATTATCGCCCTTATTAGCGTTGGGATTTGTGATTCGATTCGGATTTTAGCTTAATCTGTTACATGTTTCAGGAATAAACCTAATGATTTCTGATTCGATTTTGGTTTCTTAGATCGAAACCCTAGTTATAGGATCTGTAATTTAGTTCAAAGCATGAACCTTTGACTCAAGTTTTTGATAATCTTCTAATTTTAGGTGAGAAGAAGTTATCGAAAGTGATAGTGCCAGATAAGTGGAAGGATGGTGCTCGTAATGTAACTGAAGGTGGTGGCCGTAAAATCAATGAGAACAAGCTTCTCTCTAAGAAGAATAGGTATGTGTTCTTAAGTTTTTCCATCTTTAATTTACTCGTCTTCATCAATTGAATGCAAAACATGGAAATTGCAATAACTTTGTAACTTTGGGGATGTTTGTATCGTTCTTTTTATCTTTTAGATAGGTGTTGGTTTTGTTTCCTGTAGTTTCTTCTAAGAACCATTAGTAAATGTAGAAGTTCTCATGGAAATAGCGATAAATCTGTAAGTTTGGGATGTTTAAATTGTCTTATTTGAGTTGAGTATTGGTTTGTTCCCTCTAGGTTCTTCTAAGAATCATTAGTAAATGTACAACTTCTCATGGAACCAGCGATATTTTGTAACTTTGGATGTTTGTATTGTCTTTTTTTGAGTTGAGTTATTGGTTTTGTTTCCTCTAGGCTTTTCTAAGAATCATCAGTAAATGTTTAGGAAGATCGAATTTTGTGTAAAGCTCTAGTCTAGTACTCTAATATTTTTCATGTGTTGTAGTACTCGCTATCGAAGAACTAGTTAGAATAAATCGTTTAAGGTTTAGTGCTCTTGTGGTTATCTTTCTTTGCTGCTTCTGATTTTGTATTGTGATGTTTCTTTGCTTTGTAGATGGTCACCTTACAGTACCTGTACCACAAAATGCATGATCTGCAAGCAGCAAGTGCATCAAGATGGTAAATACTGTCACACATGTGCCTATAGCAAAGGTAAATAGTAAATACATCTGTTTTACTGCACGAAATTCTTACCTCTGGTTAGATATTATAATAAAGTAGCTCAACAACTGAAGGAATTGCCTCTTCGTGGTTGTGCAGGAGTGTGCGCAATGTGCGGAAAGCAAGTGTTGGACACCAAGATGTACAAGCAAAGCAATGTATAAACAAATGAGCAAGCGTTTCACATTTTAGTCTCAGTCCCTTTGATGTCAACTTTGTACCACCGGGACAACTTATCCTCTCACTCATGTATTCCTTTGTACCGGTTTCCTTCAGTTTTAATATAACAAAACAAAATCTTGTTTGTTCACTGTGTTTCTTGACTAATCATAAAGTTCTAATGTTTTGTTTTCGAGCTCGAAATTCAAGTATCAAAGATATATTTGAACATTCCACTGAGCAAATTTGTTTTAAACAAAATTGAGTCAAAACTAGACCATGTCCATTGACAGACATGATTCATCTTGTATATGCCAAATTGAGATTTGGTTCCTGGTACCGTACAATTATACTACTGTCTCTTCTTGTAACTTGTTCGTTGATCAGATCTCTTATAACATTAAAGTAGAGTGATAATGGTAAAAAAGTGTCTCTGAAACTTGAATTGTCTTGTGTATCCTGGCATGGTAAGTGACAAGTAGCTTATCTTCTCCGCTTCGATTCTTTACGCATTTCTGCAAAGTAATTCTCAAGATTCTGCTTCTCCCACAGCCTTTTCTGTACCAGATCTTCCTTCCTATATTCATCTGAAAATTATCGCATTTGCACAATCGTTTTAATCACATTGTATTAGAAATCAATCTTTATCCATAAGTCGGTTCAGGTTGGGGAATTAGAGAATAGAAGGATACCTAGATTAGCCCATGCGTCGGCAGGCACACTAAGTGATCTTCGGGTTAGGTACGATGCGTCTTCCCATGAATAAGGAGCTTTCTTGATCTTATATCTCCACACCCAACTGCTGTACCATACTAGAAGCTGGAAGGTAACAGAAAGTTGAATCAGCGATCTCAGGAAAATAAGATATGAGAATCTGTGAAATGTGGCACAGTGGAAGTATTTTTTTAAATGAAACCTTAATGATAGTGTACGGTAGGAGAATGAATCGAACACCGAGAAGATCCCAGACCGATGGTTTTTCAGCTCCTTTGATTTGTAAGTCGAGTTCGTTACTTAGCTCTTCCTGTAGTTTCCTGCCAAGACAAAAAATGATTATGATTTAGTCAGCGATACGACACAATCTCATCTAATAAAAAGCCCATTTATATAACTAGGGCAGCATACTGGTCAATCTGCTTTGAACCCTTCTTCTTGTTAGTTACTCCACCAGTGCGTTCGAGTTCTAATGCCTTGAGCTTATTTTTATAAGCAGGAGTTCGTTTAACCGACGCTATAGCCTGCATGAAAACAATAATGCAGGATCTCATCAAGAAAAGGAGCCGAAAGTTCATATCTTGTATAATTTTCTAATCATACACTTAAGAGTTTAAGCTACATAGAGTTCTCATAACAAAGTATGTGAATCACATTCAAGAGGTCATATGTCCATAAATTCTACGTTTCATGAGATGTTATGATACATGTGATACGTGTTGCGCATACCTGTGATATGTAGATGAGTAGTTCTGATGCTTAAAAATATAACAAGATATGTTTAGCACGAATCAGAAAAAACGCTACAGAACAGAGACTTAAGACTATTAAAACATAGTGAGAGACTTCCTATCTCTAATACGTACCTCATTATACCTTGCCACGTTGTTCAGATACTGAAACGCAGACAAAACCACCAATAGACCAACCAAAACAGCACGGGGATCCTAAAAACACATCAGGCAGTTGTATCAGTTAAAAAAGCCAATGTTTCCCCGCAAGAAAGGCTATCACAAACATCCAATAATATCTTACCGACTTATGTCCATATTTCGCCCGGTAATATTGAGCGGTGTTGTAAAATACCTACATACAAAGAAACACAAAGCGGTAGAGACAAATTTCAGAAGATCTTTCATCTGTTCAATCCATAAATTGCTAGAAAACAAGTATGACAATGCCATTTCTCATAAAAAATGTTGTACTGACCTCTTCTGGATGTTCAATTGCATAATCATATTGTGCCCGAGTAGTATTATCTTTCAAAATCTACAAAAAGGATTACAAAACGAACCTTCTCGTTCCATTATTCTCAGCTATAAACTAAAACTAGATCATCATCCCTAAGAAACTATACGCAGATGTATAGTGAGATTGACTAAGCAAGATTCAAAATTCAAAATCATAAAAAGATTGAAGTACCTCATAAGCAGTGGCGATTTTCACAAACAGTTTCCTCGATTCAGGATCCGGATTCTTATCTGGATGACTAAATCGATTCATCAAAACAAAGATTAGCAAAATACACAATCACGATCAAATCCAATCAATCTGAACAATAAAATCAACAAATCCAGAATCATTACTGTTGAAGAGAAAGCTTATAATAAGATCTCTTGATATCCGATGCGTTCGCATCTTGAGCAACTCTGAAATCGAAAATGCAAAACGATTAAGAGAGAATGAAAAATCAAAATCTGAATTTGAAAATGGAGATCGGAAGCTGAACAAACCCGAGAAGAGCATAACAATCTTCAGCACCGCAATAAATTGCCGTCGAAGATTGGACGAATAAGGAGAGAAAGAGAAGAATCAAGGCCAAGCACCACCGCTCCGTCACCGGCGGCGCCATCTCGTGATTAGTCGTCGGCGAATTGAGAGGAAAAATACTCTTTGGGCCTTTTTTGTTTTGTTAACAGAAATTGTGAGATTTTTTTTTGTGAAGAGTCAACAATAAATGTAACTTTTTAGAATATTTAATTTTGTTGGGCCATTATGGATTTACGTTAGTAGTAGTATATTCTCCTCTTAAATAATTGAGTCTTATCGTGCGAAATAATAGGATTTAAATATACTTATTTATATTATTTTTTTACTATTTAGATGAAAACGTATATATATATATATTTCCTTATGTATTTTTTTTTAAAAAAAATTTAATAGACACATATAAACAAATTATTGTTTTGAAGGCAACACATATAACACAAGAATCTTGTATTAGTATCGTTTTTGTATCACCTGTTATAATTTGATGGTATAATGATAAATTTAAAAATTTATATGAACACGAAAATAATACATAAAGGAAATATGGATAGAAGATTATTTGATTCTTGACAAGAAATAAT